ACCGAAACGTCTAGAATTTTTGAATAAAGACAAATTATTATACACGACCATCCTGTAATTTTATGCTCGTATCGGCCTTTGGTTTAAATATTTTTGACTATTTCACGAGCGATTGATTGAATGTTTTTTTTTTGTAGTGTTTCATGAAACAGTTTCTGTTGCCAAGGTCTGAGCAGTCAGAAAATGTTTGCTCTGGGTACTTATCTATTATATCTTACTTTTATCATACTTTATACCTACTTACGCGTAGAAGTCAATAGTTAAGTAATTAAAGTATATTATATTATTAATTAAATTTATTATATTTTTATCATCATCTCTCTCTCTCTTACTGTCAATTATTTTATTTAATCGATTAAACTAAAACTAAAGATCTTACAACTGTTTGATTTAATTTATTTTCTTAAATTATTGGTTTTACTAATCTTTGACGCAAAACGTCGCATTTTTTGTATCTTTATTTTATGTTTATATACAGTATTGAATTATTTATGAAGCATATCTGTTCTTACTTTGTATGTTTACTTTAGTAAACATTGTTAATAATAATAAAATAAAATATGTAGACCTTCCGGTACTCAGATTGCAGTTGGAGGTAAAAAAAGAATTGGTATCTAGGAAAGAGGCGTTACTGAACAATTTGCTAGATGATATGCAGATGTGTTATATTTTGAAAAAATTACTACAGACGTTTCGATTATACATTTTTAGTCTTCATCAGTGTTCTGTGTAATAACAAAATTGGTAACATAGAGAATTATTTGATGTCGTGTAAAATACAAAACTAAAATTAACAATAAAATTGCAACGTACCAATCTATAATCACCATCACAAATGAGACGACGAGTATAATAATTTAAAAGATGTTATCAAGTTATAAATAGATGTTGTCGAGTCAAAGTCGTCGTCTAAACTGAGTATGATGATATGAGAAATCGAAGAAGGCATGTTTACAAATTGAGTAGAAACGCTGCTTTATGATGTTTGTAGCGGTAAAATTGAAATGGTCATAGGAAAGATACATTACTTAATTTTATCCAATAACGGTAAATATATATTGTCTAACATGTCTGTGTCTTGCATTTTATTAAGACTTTGTGTTTGCAATTTAACGTGCAACATTTCAGACGTGAGCCTTTTAATGTAATTTGATTCTAAGTCTAATATTTGTGTGAAATCTCAATTAAAACTATGTTCAGTTTCTAAAAAATGTTCGGTTAAAACAGAGCTACTATCTCGCTTTTTGACATAATTCATGTGCTCTTTAATCCTTGTTTTAACTTGTCTCTTCGTTTGTCCTGTATAGGAGTAATCACATGACTCACATGATATGCGGTAAACTACATTGCTTTGTTGATATTTGTCGATAGGATCTTTGTGAGTTTTAATAAATTTATTAAGTTGATATAAATTACGGAAGGATAATCTTGTATTCTGTATTTTATCTATGAGTGGATTGAAATTGTTGTTATGTGGAGTTGGAATGAATGGAATCGCAAAGTATTTTATGTGTGTTTTATCTTGTGAGTCAAAATGTATAACTTTATTGTTCAATTTGTTTTCAAAAAGTGATTTAATTTGTTTGTTAACCGTTCTAAAAATTAAATCTAATGGATAGTTATTGTTGATTAAAATTTGAATGATGAGACTTAAATTTTTAATATGAAAAGAAGGATCTGACAAAAGAATAGCTCTGTCGACTAAAGTATAGACAGTGCCTATTTTATGACAAGTGGGGTTTTGTGACCAATAATTCAAGTACCTTCCTGAGAAACTAGATTTGTGGTATCACAAATGATTGTATTGTTTCTCAGAATTACACTCAAATCCAAGAAACTAATTTGATCATTAGACTGTAATTCATGTGTAAATTTGAGTCTATGGTGAATCGAATTGAATGAATTCAATACATCATCTAATTTGTCTTTGGGAAAAGATAAAATAATGTCGTCCACGTATTTGTAGTAAAGTGGAATGTTAAATTTAAGTGTGTTTAAAGCTTTTAGTTCTAAATCTTGAAGTGTAATATCTGCTATGATTGGTGATAATGGAGAACCCATAGGTGTACCATATGTTTGTCTGTAAATAATGTTATTGAAACTAAAATACATGGACGACAATACAAATTCTACCGCTAACAAAAACTCTGTGAGACTAATTTTGGTATTGTTTTTAATGAATCTCCACCTGCGAGCAACAGCCTCAAGCGCTAAATTTACCGGGATGTTAGTGAAGAGAGACACAACATCCAATGAGCAAAGAGTGTAATTGTCACTTAAAACCACACCAGAAAGCATGCCTGATAGGTGGAAACCGTCTTTGACATGAAATGGAGAGAAAGGAATGTTCTCATATAGTAATTTATGTAAAAAACATGCAATTCTGTGTAACGGGCTGTTTATCGTAGACACTATCAATCTAAATGGATGATTAACCTTATGAAGTTTCGGGACTCCATATGCTCTTNGGAGCAATGCATCACTCACGACAAGATATTTTTTTGTATTAATGTTAATGAAACCAAGATTTGTCCACCTATTCAACAATTCATTGAGTTTGGTTACTATTTGTTTTAATGGACTTTTGTTTATCATAGTGTAGGTGTTTTGGTCATTCAACATGTCAGTGATTTTCTTAATATAATCATTTTTATGAATTGCAACTGTGATGTTGCCTTTGTCCGCTCTTGTGAACAATATGTCAGGATTGTCTTTAATAAAAGTTCTAACGTTCTTAACATTTGATAATAAGATTTTTTCTAAGTGTGTTAGAGGAGTCTTTTGTCTTATAAAGTTACTTAAATACGTGTATGTATAATTACGAACGTTAGCTTTCGTTAATGGATTAAAATGGTAAATATTAAATTCTATATCTTTAATTGTCTCTAAAATTACTTTCTTTATATTATGTCGAATGGGTAATGTGAATCTATCACCATATTGTAAAAGATCAGAAACTTGTCTAGGAATAATCTTGTTAGTAAGATTGACAAACCAAGACTCATTTTGTTGGTTTTGACATTGATCAATATATTCAGTGAATTGGTCAGGTTGAATATGAATTTTTGTGGAGTTTTGTAGATTATTTGTACTAAATTCATATTTGTGATGGAATGTAATTTGTCTATGGTTGTTAGTATTATTATTTGCAATGTTATCGTTTGTCTTACTCACATAATACGTTATTGGTTTGATATCCTTGTATTTTTCTGATTTCAAGAACTTAATTTTATTATTAAGGTTGTTTCGTTTCCTGACATAAAAGCGATGCATTGCTCTCTGTTGTAAACAAATAAAACTGCAAACAATATTGTAAGGGACTTTGTTGTTCAACTCTTGAACAAAGATTTTTAAATTTTTCTGTAAAACACAAAGGTTTCTGTAGCATTCATTAATCTCCAGTTTCAAAATTTTGGATTGAAAACCTTTGATATAGTTGTACGCTCTTATACCGTTGATATAATTGTTAAATTTAGGTGTTTGATTTGAAATGTATAACAAATGCTTTGGAGTTAACTCAAACTTCATGCATGTTTGTAAGAAGTATATGTTAAGCTTATTCTTTATGATTTTATAATTGTATTAAATAAAATCTTTTAAATAACCTTTAATATCTTTACCAAAGTAGGTATGGATGAAATCGAAGAACGAATAATGTTGTTTTTGTTTGTGATGTGGATGTGTTGTTCTGTTGTCACGCATCTTNTCGCCAGCGTATAAATAAGAAATAGTTGTGTGTCAAGTTGACCTCAAGGTTCAGAAATAAATAATTGGTATCCAGGAAAGAGGCATTACTGAACAATTTGCTAGATGATATGCAGATGTGTTATATTTTGAAAAAATTACTACAGACGTTTCGATTATACATTTTTAGTCTTCATCAGTGTTCTGTGTAATAACAAAATTGGTAACATAGAGAATTATTTGATGTCGTGTAAAATACAAAACTAAAATTAACAATAAAATTGCAACGTACCAATCTATAATCACCATCACAAATGAGACGACGAGTATAATAATTTAAAAGATGTTATCAAGTTATAAATAGATGTTGTCGAGTCAAAGTCGTCGTCTAAACTGAGTATGATGATATGAGAAATCGAAGAAGGCATGTTTACAAATTGAGTAGAAACGCTGCTTTATGATGTTTGTAGCGGTAAAATTGAAATGGTCATAGGAAAGATACATTACTTAATTTTATCCAATAACGGTAAATATATATTGTCTAACATGTCTGTGTCTTGCATTTTATTAAGACTTTGTGTTTGCAATTTAACCTTTTCGCTCCGGGGATTTTTCCTTTAAAATTGACCTCGCATTTTAGCTGAAAAAGTTAATAATAACCTGCTACTCCCCCCCTTTAAAGTTAATTTTGAAGGTCAAAGAAGTAACCAGGATTTTTTTCACTTTTTTTCCTAAATTTAGTGCATTAAATTGATCTTATAAACATCTATTATGTTCGCTTTTCTTGCTAGTCCATATATGGACCAGTCCCGGAGCGAAAAGGTTAATGTGCAACATTTCAGACGTGAGTCTTTTAATGTAATTTGATTCTAAGTCTAATATTTGTGTGGAGTCCCAATTAAAACTATGTTCAGTTTCTAAAAAATGTTCGGTTAAGACAGAGCTACTATCTCGCTTTTTGACATAATTCATGTGCTCTTTAATCCTTGTTTTAACTTGTCTCTTCGTTTGTCCTGTATAGGAATAATCACATGACTTACATGATATGTAAAAAAATAAATAAAAAAATAAATAGTAAAAAAATAAATAAAACACTTGATTATAGTAACGGAAATGTGTGGAACGTTTCTATTATTAATGATATTGCAGACGCAATAATCAACTAATAATTAATACGTCTGCTTCATAAATAATTCAATACTCTATATGTACATGGAATAAAGATACTAACAAAAAATGCGTCGTTTTGCGTCGGAATTATCTACGTTTTTGCGTCACAGATTAGTAAAAACAATAATTTAAAAAAATAGAGTAAGTCAAACAGTTGTAAGATCTTTATTTTCAGTTTAGTCGATTAAATACGTCTATAGAAATAATTGTTGTTACATACAAATAACACGTGGAACACATTGTGTAGCAACAGAATAACTCTGTTCGCGAAGAATGTGCAATGTCTTTTATTCTCAACTTTTGGGTTCCCGAAAGTTCTGGCAGAGAAACAATCAAGCTTTGCTAAAATTTAAAGTGCTTGCAAAACGCGATGGCGTGCAAAATACAACAAAGCAATTGCTTTCGCGCGGGACCGACTGTTTGCCGATTCTATAAAAAAGAGATTCACGATTCAGCCGATTTATCGATAAAATGATATCAAAAAAAAAATAAATAAATAAAAAATTAACTTTATCTTTTAATATTAAAAATAAAGTTATAGATTTTCATACTTGTTGCTATTAAAAAAAACTATCTTGAAAAATTCGTTCTCGAAAAGTACTCAAAACTATTAGTAACGTCATTTATCATTTATCATTTATCATTCATCATTTCGAGTAACACAAAAACATTTGCCGTCACTTACAAAAATAAATAAAAGCGATTTACTTACGAGTATGCGATACGTAAAAATTCATAATTTTCAAGAGTTATTGCACGTTTGCGTTGTTCAATTTTAAGAGCTAACCCGATGTTATGTTATTGCGCAAGACAAGCGAGAAAAAGGTAAAAAACAAAGTATTTACACGTATGACGAAGCACAAAGCGCGTCTTATATAGATGCATATCAAGAATCAGTCGACGATTAGAGGCAATCAGAAAAAACTCGACGAATTTTGCGACGCGTCGTGTGCGATTTTGTTACATTACATAAAATAAAGCCAAAGCTATTTTAGCTCTAATATAGTTTTATATAGCGTTTAGCCAAATAATATGTGTAATAATATGTAAATGGATACGACGTAATTCTTTTTATAAAAAATAACTATAAGAAAAAACTATAGAAGAAAGTTTTTTTATTTTTGACTTAATTTCCGAGAAAATCAAGTTTGAAAATCAAGTTATACAAGTTAAAGTTTTTTTGCATTACATATTTTTTAGTTTTTATTTTTTGTTTTTATGTTTTTATATAATACAATAATTAATTTATTAATTTAACAAACAAAAGTTTACTTAGTGCTACCTTTTGATGTCACTTCTTTTGTAAAACAGGTTTTTTTAAAGATACAATACAATATGTGTTTTAGCATCTTTAAGCCAGGTGGTGTTTTCTAATGCGCATATCATCAATTCCAAACCAGCTAGAGTTTCCTTCTCTATACATACGTGTATAATGATTGTTTTCAATACAGTTCATTATTAAATATGGCATTCATTACTTTATATAGCTGTTTACCTATTGACACTTTAGTCGTTGGTACAGCCCGTAAATTACATTTGTTTGCTGGTATTGCTTTATCATCATCTGGTGAAAATAGAAAATAAATGATAAGTATTTCTTTTGTCACTCTCTCTCTCTCTCTCTCTCTCTCTCTCTGGTAATTCTCTTTTAACTATCATATTCCCTTTACAAGTTTTACATAAATCTTTATACGAGGTGTGATCAAAAAATAAGGTAACTTTTCATTTTTATAAAAAAATATTCATTTATTTATCTAAAATTATGTTATCCCCTTCAAAATAATCCCCCTCTGATACAATGCACTTGTGCCAGCGCTTTTTCCAGTCGTCAAAACACTTCTGAAATGCACTTTTGAGTATTGCCTTGAGTTCCTCCAGCGATGCAGCCTTAATCTCCTCAGTTAAAAAACAAAACAAACGTTTCGACTTTATTTTAAGTCTTCCTCAGTGTTATCTAGAAATACATAATGATAAAATCATGTTCCTGCAACTTGTTCGGCAACGCTTCTNTATTTAACATATTTATTTTTACTCACCAAACTCAACTACAATTTAAATTATATATATTAATATATTAGTATATTAATAGACTTTATTAAAAACATGGATAAAAAAATTAAGCTGTGAAGTCGAATAGAGTTAGAAAATTCCAGACATCATGGCTAGAAGAAAATATATTTAAAGGATGGTTAGCTCCCCATCCTACAGATAATAAGGCATTATGCACTATGTGCAATAAAACTATCACGTGCAATAATTATCTTTATATTATGTATATTTTTGTTTTTGTAATTAATTAATTGTTTGTAATTAGACTGCATTGCTTTTTTAATAATTTGCAATATTTTTTTGTTATATGGATACTGGTAAGGTTTTTGGCAGTTTTTCTTACTCAAGCAACAAATGTTGGTATCCAATGAGATTTCTGCCTAATAAATAACTTT